TGCTTCCCAAAGAGCTTTTGTGCAGAAAGGATCCGTGAATGCAATGTATTTTGAATATTTTTTGAAATTCTGCAAGCCTTCTCAAGTTTACGGTTATTTTCGATCAAGAGAATAGCTTTCTATTTCCGGTGTCTCGCATATTTTGTTTTTTCTTTCTCAATTTTATCGGGTGAATTTTCGCCCTCTCTATCAAAAAATAAAACTCGGTATAGCTTTATTGTTTTGTTGAAGTGTTGATTTTGTTGTTGTTATTGTTGTTCTTTCAAATGATAACTCTAAGTTTTTCCGATCGACCGATAGGAAATATCTATTTCTTTTCTTAGACACAAATAATATCAGAACGTATTTTCATTTATTTCGATTGAAATGATATTTTTCATTTCTTAATCTCATTCTTTCGAACAGATAATGACTTCATCAATATGCCTAGTTCGGTGCATTTTTTGTTCTTTTAACATTATCATACGTTCGAGTGTATGATCTTATTGTATGTATACTGACAGATGAGCTGCATTCATTCGTATAAATATGTATACTTTTATGTTTCTTCGCATTTTTATGTTGAATATATATATATGAATGTGTCATTGTATATTGCGTTTGCTGTTTCACTGTTAAGTTATATTTGTATTTTGCATGACGTTGAATAATTTTCGTGCTCAGATTTTGGTGTCTCAGAATGAATAAAGTTTTGCAGAAAGCAAGTAGACTGCGAGCTGATATTTGAAACGGCGACATTGTGATTACAGGGAATGCAGCATGGAGATGATTTGTTTGAATAATGAAAACTCAAATCAGATCATTTATGAGTAATTCAATAAAGTAATAATGTATGAAGGAATGTGTGGTGAATAATGGTCCATTCTAGCGTGAGTAATTTGTCAAGAAATGAATATTAATGAATGAATAATAGGAAAGCAAATAATCGAGTTCATGAACGATACTACATAATAATCATGATTTGGTATGACCTGGGAAGTTGTTCCGTCATTTAGCTTGAAATTATCACTTGAGATTCCATTGCGCGGAAAGGAATTTTCAGGGAAGCGAGTAGAAATTCGTGGTCTGTAAACCGCAACGTCTAAGAATTTTAAGTGAAAATATTCCCAAAAATTGCATTCCTGTTTTGAAAAAGATAATTTCTGAGCATATGAGTATGAGAGCTTTTCATGTTTGATTTTGAGCATATGAGTATGAGAGCTTTTCATGTTTGATTTCGCAAACCAAATAGAATTCTCTATGATATCTGGTTTCTTTTCATTTGAACAGTATTAATTATGGAATCATTCGCGTAGAAATAACAGCGTGACTATGTTTATACTGCCAAGTTATTCACAGACCTGTCCTCATTTTTCCCATATCCTTCATCTGGATGAAACCAATATTCGTAAAAAAATTCCTATTTGATCCATAACATTCAGCAGAATTATCCGTCCATCTATTGTGCGCTAACTTGAGGCAAAGCAAGTCTGATCAAATAATCAAACTACCAATGAAAATCTCATCTAAATATCACGAACTATTGCTAATTGATGAAATTAACGATTGTGGTAGTACTAACAACTAATATTGCAGTGAATAATAACACAAATAATAAATGTAAAAGATAAGAAATAATGAGAGTAAGATGAAGAAAAACAATGAAAGCGTGCATGTATTGCTTGCTAAACGTGAGAATCGCTGAAAAAATGGGAATGTACACTAAGAAATGAGTGGAAATTAAGAGATTTTCTCATCTGATGACGCTGTTTTAGGCCTAGTGGAATACCCCTCCACTTCATATACTTTCATTTAGTCTCGTCAATGTTTTCCGTTGAAAAGTTTCCAGATTATGCAATTTCAATAGACTTTCCTATTTATTCCCTACGTGTTTAAAATCAATACTCTTCAAAATCTCCCACTTATTTACAAGTGTAATTCACCGAGTCAACGATGACATGAAACAAGAGAAATGATAGAACGATGAGCAAATGAAGAGTCCGTTATTCAAGTACATAAATATCAAATATTCATCTAATATCACGTCACTAGTCGTATTTCAACATACTAATTTCATCACTTAGTTAACTCGTCAACAACCACTATATTGCCTGTATTATCCACACAGCATTTCCATATTAATGTCTCCAACTTCTGTCCCCACTCGGCATGACTTTCATCACGATTATAGAATTTCGACTGTAACACCCTCTTTAGCGTTCCTCCGGGTCCCTGAAAGTCGCTTATTTGGTAGTGATATCATAATACTCGCAATAATGACTGCTACTGACAATGGTGATACTGACAACGCAATAATGACTGATAGCCAATGAAAATGAAGGTGCACTAATTGTGAGCTGAATTACAACGAAAATTATTCAAAACTTCAGTGAACCACACAGAAAGCCAGACGGCGAGCGATAAAACCCATTTGGAATGCTTATGATGAGACGCGTAATGAGGATAAGCTTGGATGGAACGTTCACCGACAGTGAATTGATCCAACAAAATACGTCAGTAAAGGATAACTACCGATGGAACATGACACATTTTAGAGCGAAATTTTCGGCATTAATGCCTTGCTAGCAAAAACATATTAAAATTTATCCGTCTATCTCGCGTAGAGACACCGTTACAAACTCGCTGAAAACTTCAATTAATCAAACAGCAATATAAAAAACAAAAAGTGATTACACTATCTGAATGACATAATGCGCTTTCAATAAATAGCGTGAAAGCTGAGAAGTACAGGTAATTATGCGGCATGAGATACGGTCAGCGAAAATAATCGATTCATTCCAAATGCAAATGAGCAGATAAGTTTATGAGATTTCCTTGAGAGGAATATGAGATGTAGTGATCGAGAGAATGAAATTTATGCGAATCGCTTATAATTTTCAAGATGAGCGAATTGTGAATTTTTATTAATCAATAAGACTGATTTTACGAATGAAAAAATTGGGTGTGTATGTGATATCATAAATGAGATGAATTAAATTGGTCACTTGTAAGGTAACTGCAAGTTTCTCTCGAGTCGCCTGTCGTGTTGCCTCAATGCCAGTAGTGTTCCATTCGGCAGTATATTCGTCACCGTTTGGACTGGTCCTATGCAACGCCAGATCTGAGCCAGCGATATGGAACGAGCTATAAAAGTCAAACGAATGAATATTTATGGTTTTAATATGAAGCATAAGAAATGCCAATTTCGAGCTACGATTAGATTATACGCTTAGAAATAACCATATAATTTTCTGTTTTTCATCAGATGCAGCTGATTTTAAGCACACGAGAAATTATACGTATTGCGGCTGGGTAATGCTTTCAGTTATGCACAATCGTTAAGGTAGTCATGCAGATGACGTGAGTGCTTTTATAATACAGCCAAGTTGTTCATATTTGATCGTTATATCGACTACTCATGCACTATTGTAGGGAACTAAGGACTATCATATGTAACAGGCGTGAAATCTCAACTTTCCCAGTACTCATCCATTCTGTGGAATGTTATGTTGGCTGCATAGATGTAGCGAATGTATTTGTGGGAGATATTTTCGTAAATGTAAGAAATGTTTGTGTCTCACTTGAATTCAGTGTTTGGTTTACATACGAGCGTTATCTTATATCTGGCATTCGAGTAGAGTTTCAACGTCCTTGAGGATGTTTCGAATCTCGCTCCGTCGGATTTAAACACTATTGGCTCGCCGTTTTCAACATTCCTGAAACTTCACATAGTGCACTTTGATTTGGATCGAATGAGCAAAAATTTGAACAAACTTTTCAAAATTTCATTCACTCGATGTGAAAGTTTTCTCTTCGAAGAATAACGAAATCCTCTTTCATTGATTCATCCTTCTCTAATGCTTCATCGAATA